CGATTCCAACTGATATCTCACTAGTTCCAAATAGAACTCGATGAGCTATATCCAACACACTAGTTTTTTCCGAAAAAAAACAATCCTTACTGGTGAAAACCCGTTTTTTTCGCAAAAAAAACAAGAAAAAACAACACAACGACACCAAAACCACTCGCGATTCGCTTAAAGACCGATTCCAACAAATCCAACACTGGTTCCAAGTAGATCTCGATGCGCTCTATCCAATGGACACCTTCTGAGCTCAAATCCATGCATCCATCACTGAGAAATCGGCCCACAAGGCCCGAAACAACGCTTTTTTGGGAAAACCTCCCGCGATTCGCCCAGTGACCGATTCCAACAAATCCAACACTGGTTCCAAGTAAATCTCGATGAGCTCTATCGAATGGATACCTTTTGAGCTTAAATCGATTCACCAATCGCTGAGAAATCAGTCAATAGATCCCAGAACAAGGCCTTCCCTGGAAAACCTGTCACGATTCGACTAGTGACCGATTCCAACAAAACTAACGCTGGTTCCAAGTAGATCTCGATGTGCTCTATCGATTGGACACCTTTTGAGCTTAAATCGATGCATCTATCGGTGAGAAATCAGTCAATAGGCCCCAAAAAAGGGCTTTTCTACTAGAAAACCTGTCACGATTCGACCCCTGACCGATTCCAACAAAGCTAACGCTGGTTCCAAGTAGATCTCGATGAGCTCTATCGAATGCACACCTTTTAAGCCTAAACCGATGCACCTATCGCTGAGAAATCAGCCAATAGGCCTCAGAACAGGGCTTTTCTCCCTTCTCAGCAATAGGTGCATCGATTTAAGCTCAAAAGGTATCCACTCGATAGAGCTCATCGAGATCTACTTGAAACCAGCGTTAGTTTTGTTGCAATCTGCCAATGGTCGAATGATGACAGGTTTTCCAGTAAAAAATCCCTGGTTTGGGGCCTATTAGCTGATTTCTCAGCGATGGGTGCATCGATTTAAGCTCAAAAGGTGTCCAATCGATAGAGCTCATTGAGATCTACTTGGAACCAGTGTTGGTTTTGTTGGAATCGGTCACTGAGCGAATCGCGAGTGGTTTTGGTGTCGCTGTATCGTTTTTTCTTGTTTTTTTTGCGAAAAAAACGGGTTTTCACTAGTAAGGATTGTTTGTTTTCGGAAAAAAACTAGTGCGTTGGATATAGCTCATCGAGTTCTATTTGGAACCAGTGAGATCTCAGTTGGAATCGGGCGTGTCGTGAATCGCGAGATGAAATACTCGAATCCTGACCTAGGATATCCTACGTGTTACTAAAGTAAATCATATTCATAAAATTATTTTTTTTCTTCATGTATCAACATCGAATTGTTCTATTGAGTAGCACACCATCATTTTTTTTTTCATCTTTCATTTTCATATTAAGAAAAATCAACGTATAAAGCTTTAAAAAAGTAAATGTGTTGATAAATAGCGACATCTCGATTTATACTTCATATTTATTGTACTTCATATTTATTGACCAACAAACCATATATTGAACCACTAATAAAGTATACATTTTTCCTCTGTCTTTTTTTTTAATGGATCGAAATTTTAATCTATTCTCGTTTTTCTTCTTTTAGATTTGTGTTCTTGCGCAAACTATTATAGATTTTTGCGTATCGATAAATCAAAAGAATGGTATGAAAATTTTGAAATTCTCATTATTTTATCAAATATTTATAAATTTCTATTAAATTAGTCGAATCTTTATATACTCTATGAACATGCATCCGGTTATGCATTATTTCGTGTTCGTGAATTTGAAGAAATTGGTATGAATTTACCACAAGTAGAAGCAAGTGTAGTTGATTTATCAAAATTTGCCACGGTTGTTAAACTTGTTGCATTTCATCCATTTCAATCTGGTGTTAATGCACTTGATAATATAAATGCAATTTCGGAAGGTTATTTTTTTTTTTTAATTTTTATTTTAAAAACAAAAAAAACCATTGTTTTTGTGTAGGTTTGGTTCATGATGATCTTCGAACATTTCTTGATACAAATTTACCGAAAGAAAAGAAGCGTGCAAAAATGATTCTAGGTGTTGCTGATACTCGTATTGCATCGACTATTAATGAACTTTTTTCAATTGCATGTCAACATACTGGTGTTATACCTGAACTGTTACGAGGTAAAATTTTCGTAAGAAAAAAAAATTTAATCGTTCGAAATTTTATTTTTAATTCAAAGGTCTTCGACTTCATTTTCCAAATTTAGTTAAAGGTCTTACAGATCAAAATCAAAATAAAGCTCAACTTGGTTTAGGTCATGCATATTCACGTGCTAAAGTTAAATTTAATGTTAATCGTGTTGATAATATGATAATTCAATCAATTGCTTTACTTGATCAACTTGATAAAGATATAAATACATTTTCAATGCGTATTCGGTATGAATATGGTTGTTGTTGTTGTTGTTTTTTTTTTAATTAATTTTATTTTGTTAGAGAATGGTATGGTTATCATTTTCCAGAATTAATTAGAATTGTTCCTGATAATTATACATATTCACGTGTTGTTCATTTAATGAAAAATCGAAAAGAATTTTCAACTGATCGTGAAGAAGAATTAGAAGCAATTACAATGGATAGTGGAAAAACGGCAGCAATTTTTGAAGCTATGAAAACAACAATTGGTATGTTATTTTTTTTTTCTTGAGAAATAAAAATAAATTGTTTTTTTTCTTTTCTTTTCAGGTATGGATATTTCACCGATTGATCTTATTAATATTGAATCATTTGCTAATCGAGTTATTCATTTATTTGAATATCGTAAAAGTTTACAAGAAGTAAAATTTTCTTGATTTTTTTTGTTTTTGTTTTGAATTTTAATTATGATGATTTGATTTTATAGTATTTACGAAGTAAAATGGGACAAGTAGCACCAAATTTAGCTGTGTTAATCGGTGATCAGGTAAATATTAGACTTGGATACAATTAATTTTATTTTTTTTGGGTTGATCTAAAATGAATATTCTATGAAAGAACAGATATAAACAAGACTATTTTTGATAAAATTTATGACGGTTGAGATTGATTAGAAAATAGGCATGCAATCAAATCCAATAAAGCAATTTGTATATTTCGAATTTATCTCATTGATTACGAACTATATCAATAAACTGTCGCACCACAAATATAAAAGAATGTCTGTCTTTGACAATCAAACAGATAATGATTTAATGAACACTTTGGTTTAATAGGAGATTGAAACAAAACTGAAAAGCAATCCAAACCCATTGGGTTTGCGTTTTTTGATTGGTTCTAACACAGACATGAGCAAGATGATATCGCGATCGGAATCAACACTTTTTCTATTGGGAGTGATACTTTTTATGATCGTGTAAGGGTTGCGTCAAATGTCATGTTCTCATGACTCGTTTTTACTGAAAATTATGAAGTAATTATCACTTCAATATTTGCTGATACAATCTTGATAGTAAAATTAATCTTTTTTTTTTTTTTTTTTTCGTAAACAACAAAGTTGTCGAACACATAAACATGCAGAATAGACAAAATATTAGTAAATTCAAAAAAGGAATGAATCTCCAAGAGAAGAGTTCTCAAATGATAAATCGCTTTTGAATTGGAACTATATTCAATCGATAAGACCTAGTGTATAAGTAAATATTCTGAAGTGATTCGAGTTGCTGAATTTTTATTGCTGAAATATTAAATTTTTAGGGAATTTTGATCTAGAACTTTGCTCACATACAAATCCCGATCAGACTAACTTGTACAAAAAAAATTCAGAATTTTTTCAGTAAGTCTCTGCAAGATATGAACTTTTTAAAATATAGACATTTTGTCATAGTTATTCTAAAAAAATTTTTGAAATTTTTTCTACAAGTTAGTCTAATCGGTGCCTTTATCTAGGCAAAATTTTAGGTCAAAATTCCCTAAAAGTTCAAAACCTTAGCAATAAATGTCCAGCAGCTCTAACGATTCTAGAGTATTTATCTACTCACTAGGCTCTACCGATTGGATAGAATATCAGCTCGTAAGCACGAAATCAGCACTAAAAATGGTTGGTCCGGCTCATTACTACTCTAGTACGTAGTCTAACAACATTGCTAAAATCCCTGATTGTTGAGAGTCTTTCAAAAAGTTTCCATAAAGATTTATTAGTCAATAGATCATAATTATTTGAAATAATTCATAGGTCGGTGCTCGTCTTATTGCTCATGCTGGTAGTTTAACTAATTTGGCTAAATATCCAGCATCAACAATTCAAATATTAGGTGCTGAAAAAGCTCTCTTTCGGTAAGACATAATTATTTATATTTTCTTAAACGAGAATAAAAAATAACATAACAATATTTTTTCTATATTTATAGAGCATTAAAAACCAAAGGTAATACACCAAAATATGGTTTAATTTATCATTCATCACATATTGGTAAAGCAAGTACACAAAATAAAGGTCGTATATCACGTTATCTTGCTAATAAATGTGCTATTGCATCACGAATTGATTGTTTTTCTGGTTTGTTAATTTCTTTACTTTCTTTTAATGAAAGATATTATTTTTTGTTATTTCATTTCTATTGTAAAGAAATTCCAACTACTATATTTGGTGATCATTTAAAACAACAAATATCAGATCGATTAAAATTTTATGATAAAGGAGAATTACCAGCTAAAAATGTTGATGTTATGCAATTAGCTTTACAAGAAGCTGATGTTGAACGTGAACAAATTTTATTAAAAGAAAAAAAACGAAAGAAAAAAGAAAAAAAACGTCGTAAAGAAGCTGAAGCAGCAACAACACTTAACAATAATCATTCAAATGGAACAATTACACTTGAAGACGCAGTTAACAATATGGAAGTTGCTTAAAGTTTTTTTTTGTTTACTTCTGATTTGTTATTATTTGTTTCGACAAATAGAAACTTCTTGTTATGAAAAAAAAAAAAATTAATTGTTTAGTACAACTTTGTTTTCATTTGTTGTAGATTTGAAAAATAAACAAACAAGAGATAATGACAACAAGAAAACAAACACCTAGTGATTTTCTTAAACAAATTATAGGTCGACCAGTTGTTGTTAAACTTAATAGTGGTATTGGTAAGAATATTTAATTAAATTATTTACATAAGAATATAATAAAATAAATCTATATATAAAATGAAACAGGAAGATTTTGTTTTTTTTAATGAGATGAAGATCTTAATAATTTAGTACAATATATTTTAACTATATAGACATGATAATATCTTTTACTTGCATGTTTTTCTTAGATAGAAGTATTATAATTACAGTTGAATGAAAATAGAAGACTATCTTTAATAGCTTCGTATACCGAAACAACATGACTTTAGAAAACGTCTATTGATTTGGTACAGTATGTATGTATCTATCAAGAATAGTCAATAAAAAAGAAAATATTAACATTTCGAAAAAAAAAACTCGGTTTTTAATTATGAATGAATTAATTGTTGAAGTCAACATATGAAGTCTTCGTCATATTACAACAATATAAATTAGGAAATAATAGGAATTAGTCAACAATTTATGTATAATAATCGATAAGACTGTGTAAATAGTAACTTAGGGAAATAAATAAATAAACGTATAATGAATAAAACAACATAATCATCTATTCTTAGTTCAAACTGTATGTAATCAAAATCATTTCCTTATGACACCGAGGATTTGTATATTACAAGCGGTTTGTTTAAATGTCCGACTTCTTTCACTCAAATTAAAGTCTTGGTTCCTCTATCAAACTTTCATTTAACAAATTCAAGTTTATGTAAACCGAAGATATTAATAGAATGACCTTGTATGACATGAATCGAATTTCGGCTAGTACATTTATCTTTAAAAAAATTGGATTTCTAAGTCACGCTTCATGATAGATTCAACGAAATTCTTTCCTTTTAAACTTTAAATTATATTTTAATAATGTTTAGATTATCGTGGTGTATTAGCATGTCTTGATGGTTATATGAATATTGCATTAGAACAAACAGAAGAATATAATGGTGGACAACTTAAAAATAAATATGGTGATGCATTTATTCGAGGCAATAATGTTTTATATATATCGACTCAACGAAAGAAATAAAAATTTTTTAAGATTGTATAAAATAAAGAATAAAATGTTGAAAGTATTGTAAAGAAAAAAAAAGAAAGAAACTAAGAGAATAAACAATAAAGACAAACAGACGTGAATTTATAGTTGATATTTTCTTTTCATTTTTATTTCTTCTATTTAAACAATATTATTCGTCGGATTTACATTCCAACGAGGACATGGTAATTGATTTTGTTCACTTATACGAACAAATGTATAAGAAAATAAACCGAATAATGTAAGTAAAATACCAATAAACTGTTTATAATTAAGACTATCTTCAAAAAGAAGAAAACCACCAACAAGAATCGATATTGTTTTCAGGTGACCAATCATATTATAAGTCAATGCTGATCTAAATATAAATATATATATATAAAGCTTTAATTTGAGTCTAAATCAAAACGAAAAAGAAAAATCTCAGCCAGCACATTTATTCACACTATTGACAATTTACTAGCGATAATGCTTTCATAACTTTTGGTTCTAACTATAAACAATTGTAGAGAATATTTTCTACTCAAATTTCAATTATTTATTAGAAAGAATTCAAATTAATCGAGAATAAAATAGTTTTAGAAAATATTTTACTAATTAGTCAGAAATACTAACTGCAGTTAAGCATTATATTAATCAATATCACCTGCGATACTTTTGTCGTAGAATCATTACACAAAAGTATTTTTGTTAGCATTAAGTTAATGCAATGCTATACTAAGCCAAAACTTCTACAATAGAATCATTCGATTTTGTCAAAATCATCATAAAAAATTTTCATTTCTTTTAAAATATACTCGATCGATCTTTTCAAGTCCTGCAAGAACAACGAATGTAGAAAGAGAAATTTTCACTGTTGTTTGGATCCTAAACTATGAAGGAAAAAAATATTCAACCAGATAATTTTAGACAACATTTTATTAGTAAGATCAGTAGAAAAACATTTATATAAGAAAAAAATTATTTAATTTTTTCGTTTCTTTTGTTCTAACTCATATTAGTTATCTTACTTTCATCCTTTTTCTTTTTCTTGAATATTTTTTTAAATGAGGTTCTATAGTAAAGCTTATGAATCTAAGTTATGTATATTATATCATTTCCTTTCCTTTTTTTTTCTGATTCTCATGTATTTTATTAGTTGAACTATGAGTTACTATTATGGTCAAATGGATTTACATAAAACAATGTTCTACGATACAATTAGAAAACATTTTTTCTTTTGAACCAGATGGGAAACTACAATATAGACAGTAAATCAGTTCAGCAGGGTGTCCTGCCCTGGGGATCGAGAAGGGCAGAATAGAGTGCTTTTTTACCCTTTTACCTTTTTTGTCAACATGGCAAGGTGACAAAAATCACCCTGCGGACATCTCTGATGATTATCACGTGAGAACAAATCAATTTTACTTACGTATTTTTAATAACCCAATAAACTGATAGATTAACCACAAATGCAACAATACTCGAGGTTACAACAGTTATTATTGCTGTTCGTTGTTCTTCATTAGTTGCATATGATGGAAAACTTTCCATCAATAATATCAATGGTACAAGTATTATTGCTGATAATGGTGCTTGATAATAAAGTAATTGTTGAGAATTCATATCTAAATCTTTTAAACGTTCACCAACCCATACTTGATAAAGTGATGCTGCTAATACACCAATCGATGCTATTATTGTACCCATTAATGTTAATTTAATATCATTAACGGAATGTGTACATACACCAACAACAACGGGTATTAATGTAGCTATAACCATTCGTGAATATTTTGTTTTATAATATTGCCATGATATAAGTGCAACAACTGGTGTTGTTAAAACTTTAAATAATTGATATGTACCTATTGTATTATGTTCTAATGATAAATTTGTAAATACAACAAAAGCACAAAATGCTATTGCTAATGGTAAAACTTTTATTATTGGTACTGATTTACGTACAAATGTATTCATTTGTAAACATATAATAAGACCTAATGATGTAAATGCCATTTGTATAGCTGTTAATGTCATTGTTTTTATTTGACAATGAGAAAATATATATTTATTAAGAAATATAATGCCTATAGATGATAAAATATTCGATGCACAACCTGCTATAACACGTATATGTTCTTGCATTATATTGTCTGATGTTGATGGCATTGCACGTTTATTGGATGGATATGTTGATGGTGGATCGATTTTAATCTATAGAAGAAAAAAACACAGTAAAATATAATTTCGATAGTTTCAAAACAAGAAAAAAAAACTTCTTTAGTAAAAAAACGCATACGAGTGATGTTGCTGATTCATCATTATTCATATTTTTATCATTGTTGTTAAGTACATAATCACTGTTTGTTGACATTGTGTATATAGACCAAAAAATACGTAGGTTAATTCTGCATATGGAATGTTAAGATAGAGTTCAATTCAAACTATATCTACAAACATTGTGTAGAAGCCAAACATTAAAGCATATTCAATGAGTTGCTTTTTTTTTAATGCAACAAAGTGACAGTTGTTGTAAGAAAAGCAAAAAAGAAAAAGAAATGCAATGAATATTCTTGTTCGTTCATGCACACTGAAGAAAGAAAAGGTGCAAGAGAAAGAACACGTGTAAAATAGAAAAAAAAAAGAGAGCTGCATTTCATTAAAAAAATATAATAAGAATACAAACATATATAGAGGGCAGAATACATCTCATAAAAGAAACAATACGTATATACTTTTAAGCAATTTCCTATGGATTTACCTATGCTTTTGTATTATCTATCGTGAAACCATATGCTCATTGATCATGTATGTATGTGACAAAACATATTATCATATTGCATAGAGCAAGAAGAGAAAAAGAAATATGGTTTGGTCGTGAGTGTGCTTATTGTAACTAACAACTGGTGTATAAGTATAACCAAGCAAGAAAAAAAAAGAGAACAAACAGTGACAAAAAATAAAAAGAAAATATACGATTTCAAAGCAAAGAAAAAGAACGTTCTTTTTACTATGCAGCTGCCGTTTGACTTCAATGTCTATTTGACATAGAATAACGAAAAGAAAAAAGAAATTTTTATTGCTAGACGTAAAAGCAATGAGCTATAATCAATCAAATACTTTCAATAAGTTGAAGTTCCGTTTTAAACGGTTATTTAAAATCTAATTATATTATGCTCGATAACATTAATAACTAGTGTTATGAAATTTCTTTTTTTGTGTCAAAAATCTTTTAAATACTAAAATGACATGAAAAGCCAGATTTAACATCAATTCATCTCGATCAAATATTTATATATTAAAGTAAGCATCATGATAGAACCAATGTTAATTAGAAAAAAAAATGATTCATAAAGATCGAACATAATTAAAACGAAAAATCATGAATTGCATTTCATTATGTAAATCAATTCGAATTCTTTATATTCCACCATATTATGAAAATCATTTTGAATTAACACTTGATAGATTAATAACTCGTGATAAATATGTCGAATATCAAGTATTTACTATCAATAAAAAATTTATAACGATAGATTTTAATTTTTTATTATCGATGTGTAGAAGTCTAATCAATGATGAACATATACAAATGCTTATTACTGATAGTTATATAGGTCAATTATTAATAGCTAAATTATGTCAAGAATATTCACAAATACATAATGGTGGAATGAATGTTTTTCATACACTTCAATGTATAAATAGATATTTAATAACAGAATTATTTGATATTGAGGAATGTATACCAACATTATGTATTGAAATAAAAGAAGATTGGAAAAGAAATTTTCAAATTGTAGAAACATTTTTATCAAATAATAATATTGATGGTTTTATGAAATCATTATATAGTTTTGATAATCAATTATGTAGTTTTCGTTTTTCAAATTGGAAAAATCATATGGAAATAATTAATACTTATATTGAACGTTATAAACAACAATATATGACAAGTCTTTTGCCATTTTTTCGTGTTTATATATCAAGAAAACAATATCCATTTATTTTTAAACCAAATTATCTTATTCAACCTTTTTTTGATCTTGTTACATATCCACATTGGCGTCTTATTATTGCTAGTGCATGTATATATGAAAAAGAAATTATTATGTGGCCTCTAGTTGATGGTTATTCTGGATGGTAACATTTCTATATTCATTCTATTATTTTAAATTCGAATCATTCGTTAGAAAGAAAATATTTCCTAGTAAAAAAATGACTAGAAAATTTTTTGTTCTAAGAAGAATAGTTTTTCTTTAGAAATAACAGGTGCGGCAGAATAAATGGCTCCCTCAGTATTTTATCTCTAAACTCTTTTTTTCTTTCATCCAAAAGACATGAAATTTATCATAGAAAGATGCATCGTGAAATTTTCTACAAAGTGGCCTATTTTATTTTGGCTAAATGCTGTTCGTCGTACTTTAAATTGAAATAGTTTCACTTGGAAAAATTATAAGTACTTTACAAAAATAGCTATTTTATAGTTTTTTCTAATATCGCTTCATTTGCCGCATCTTAGTGACCTTTGTTGAGATAACACTTTAATTTCGATAATTACCGATTCAACTCAAATAGGGAAGCCTAGACATCTCTGGAGCATCGGTAAACCCAGATTGCTTCGCAACAAGACAAATTATCAACGAAAGTTACTAAGAAATGGCAAATAAAGCGATATTAGAAAAAACTATAAAATAACTATTTTTGTAAAGTACTTATAATTTTTCGAAGTGAAACTATTTCGATTTAAAGTACGACGAACAACATTTAGCCAAAATAAAATAGGTCACTTTGTAGAGAATTTTACGGTGCATCTTTCTATGATAAAATCATGTCTTTTGGATGGAAGAAAAAAAGAGTTAGAGATAAGATATTGAGGAAGCCGTTTATTCTGCTGCACCCGTTATATCACGATTGATTAATCCCTTGAGGATAGAAGACGTATATATATATATAGGTTTGGTTTTTAACTGACTAGCAATTAATTTGCACATATCTCTTACGATCTGCGATGACACACAAGCCATCAATATGTTACACAGCCATGTGTATTGTAAGGGTATGGAGACGACTGAAGAGAAGATCTACCGAGGATCTCAATGGACTGAAAGGAATCTTTTCAGATGTTTCCAATCCGATTTCAATATCTATAGATACTGCATAGTGTTTTAATATAAACACTAAAAGGATTTGGATTCCTATTGATATTTGATCAAGCTATCGAATTTTTAATATGTCTATTTTTGTACAGGCCACAGCTTTTTTTGAAAAACTCGTATTTTCGAATTTTGATCTGAAACTTTACGTATATAGAGAATTCAACTAGACTAGCTTCCATCAAAAAAATTCAGAAGTTTTGAACAAAATCTCTTCGAAATATGAGACTTTCACTATATAGACTCTTTTTCCTAGATAGTGTATATACATATTGAAGAGATTTTGTTCAAAAGTTGTCAATTTTTTTATGAAAGCTAGTCTAATTGATTTCTCTATATGCACAAAGTTTCAGACCAAAATTCAAAAGTACGATTTTCCCAAAAACTTGAAGTCTCTAGGAAGTAGACATGTTTAAAATTCGACAGTTTAGTCCAATCTGCATAGGAACCTAAATTCTTTTAGTGTTATTATTAGAACACTAAAAGGATCCATAGGCAATAAAATCATTAAAATTCGAAGGAGAGCATCTGAAGATGTTCCTTCGTGAGTCAAGTTCGGCCCGTGCGTCGAAATTGTTTTGAATAGAAAATCATGGACTGGGCCCGACTGATTTTATATAGGGATGAACCGAATCTCGAATAACAGATAAAATTTTCAGAAGATGTTGCGCATTCCCACTAAAAAATTGTTTTTCTGGAAAAACTCCATATAATTTTTCCATTGGCTAAAACATTTCTGCAATGAACAGTAAATATATATATTTCATAAAAGATAATCATCATCATCTGAGAAAACTTTTATTATATTCACCAAAAACTACTTGCTCCTCGTTTATCAATAATTACAACAATATTATCAATTACTTCTTCTAATTCTATTCGTAATGAACCTTCTCAATCTCATCAATCTTTGTGAACACTTTTTCTTCAACTGTTGGAACTACGGCTTCATCATCACATACAAAATAGTATAGATCCGAATGGGCCAAATTCTTTTGAAGCAACAATAACAACTATTGACATATTCTGTTATTAAAAATGAAAAAACAAACACATCTTCTAAATATGCTTGTTTATTTATGTGTTAAAAATTTATCCAATGCAATTAAATGAGTGGGCCATATTTTAAGAAAAAAAACCATGGGCTGAACCGTGTCAAAGGTCAATAACCCCTCGGCCAGCTTTCTTCGATCCAACCCAGTTCATTGAGACCGCTGAGATCTCCACCTGTCAATACTCTCAAGATTATCATACTCAATAAATACATTTCTTTTTATATCGATATGAATAAATATATTCTAATATGGTTTCGAAAATGATCATTGTTTTCTTAAAAGTAACTTCCGTCTTCTTCAAAAGGTTAAAATCAATACAAATTTAAAATTATTGAAGTATATTCATCACTTTTTTTTTGCATAGGCCATTTCTTGCTGAAAAACCATTGGCAATTATGCCGATTATTGTTTGTCCAAGTCGACAAATTTCAATTGAACAACAACATTTAATTTATACTCGTTTTCGACAACATCTTAATCATCTGATAACAAATTATCATCTTTGTTATGGTTGGATTCAATGTTCTTATTTTATATCATGTACAAATGAAATTCGTCTAATATCAATTAAACCAACTTATTCTATTTATTTAACTGAAGCATTTAATTCTACAAATCAATATGGAAATCCATTAATGGCTCTTGTTCAATTATCAAATCGTCAACGACCTCAAACACCTATTCTTAATGGTAAAACTGTTTATATTCATCGACTATGGTTGAATATTCAAGAAAAATATTCTATTAATGATCTAATCAATATGAAAGAAATTAAACGAATTCATCGATCAAATATATCTATAAATCGTTATATTCGTTTACGTTTTCAAGAAAATGATATAATTAATAATGATAATAATAATGAACAAAATTTTATTGAAGTTGGTTTTATTCAAGTTAATGGTGAATATTATGAAATAGGTTTAACAAATTTAATTGAATTTCGTTGTATATTATTAAAACAACCTCAATTATTTCCATTTGTTCATCATTCAATGTTATCTAATAATCAATATCAATTTGATCCTATAACATGTTTACCATCAAATGAATTACTTGAACAATTAGAAAAACTTCAAAAACAAGAACAAAAAGATTTGATTTAAACAAATTGATACAACATAGACAAATTCTGATATATTTTTCGCATCGGTCCAAACAATCAATTTCATCATATTCATTTGTTTAATAAATAATAGTATATTTCATGTATATACGATTGATTCAATAAAACGAATAAAAAAATAACAAAAAGGACAAATCAATATGTATTTTAAGAGATATGAATATACTCTGCAATATACATTACTGATAAGACTAATATATTTTGATTTGGTTTTTACGATACTAAGTATCTAACTCGAACTCAAACTGTGGTTTGAATAGTCAATGAAGTTCTCTATCAAATTCATTCTATACTAAAATTTCATAGATAATCTGTGAGAGAAAAGTGTTTCTAAACAACCAAACACGACAGTTTTCGAGTCCTATAAGAATGTGTAAGAAGAAGTTTTTTAGAGTATCATCTTAAAGAGCACAAAATTCTGAGTAAAACGAGTGGTTATTACATTTTCTACGACCTTCCCATAAAAAGGTATAAACATAAAAAGAAGCAAAATTTATCTTGACAAGGTCATAGGAAATGTGGTAACTTCTCATTTTATTCAGAACTTTGTGTTCTTTCAGATGGTACTCTTACAAAACTACTTATTGTGCATTCTTCTGGGATTTGAAATTTACTGTGTTTGATTTTTCAGAAACCTTCGTTTCATAGTTCATCTATAAAATTTCGCTATAGTATGGACTTGACAGAGAATTTCAGTAGCTATTCAAATCACTATTTGAATTTGAGTTAAATGCTTGATATTGCAGAAATCAAGTCAAAAATACATTGTTTTTAAATTATTGACTAGTACTATATAAACAAAAGTCTAATCTTGTATTTATTAAAAGTAAAGAATTTGTCTATTTACCGGAGAAATCATCAAGAATTCATTGTTTTTTGTTTAATTTTAAGTTTATTACATTAATCTAAAATTATAGATTTATGTTTCAATCGTTCTTAGTCTGACGTAGCGAAGACTATAAATTAAGAAATTTTAGTTTACTTTTTTTAAATGAAAATTGAACGTTTATTTATTTGAAATTAATTTGTTTACAAAAAAAAAAAAGGAAAGAAACGGAAGTTCTTATGTGAAGAAGTGTAAAGGAAGAAAGTGAAATGAAACGAATAAAATAAATTTATATAGAACTAAAATGAGTAAATTAAACACTGTTGTTGTTTTTTTTTCTTTTACTTTTTGTTTCATGTAAAATTTAATATCATAAAAGGAAGAGAAGAAAACAAAAAAAGCAAAAATTATCGAAGACAAAAAAAAGCAACAAGACATTATAGAATGTTTATCTTTGAGATATATATATATCTCCATTGGCAAGATTATCAAATGGAAAAACTATCACCGGACGGTGTAGAAATAAAAATGAAAATAAAGTTTAATTATCAAGTTGACATATCATGGCTACACCACGTCCAATCCAATGTTCTTCTGGTTTATCAGATGGAATTTTCATTGCTATTACAAAATTTGTACTATGTCCTGTTGTTGATAAAACACCACGTCGTTCTGTTGTTTTATAAACAGGTGATGTATAAGATGGTACCTGTTGTAATTCATCACGTTTAGCTGGACAAATCCATATTACAGGCATTGTATCAAATAATACTTTTGGTTGTGATTCAGCAAGTTTACGTGTTTTTCTATCATATCGAGCACCTTCGAGAAATAAACCTTTTATATAAGCTCCTAAAATCATATATAAATTCAAGTGAATTTTTTTTTTTAAATGAATAGATTTGTTTTTACCATCATCTGGTGCTTTACTAGGTTCTTTATCATCCATAACTTCATAATTAAATGCAAGAAGATCAATAGGTATTGTATATTTTCGAGCATAATTTTGTTGAACACCAGTAAGAAAAGCTTGTGTAAAAAAGAATCCACTAATCCATAAACAACTAGGTACACCTTGGTCATACCAATCCTAATAATATAAAAAAAAAATAATTAATATTTACTGTTGCTACTTCGTTTAATAAAAATAAAAAAAAAATAATTTTTTTTTCTTCGTAAGTCAAAAGAAAAGAAAAAAAATGTTATTTTTATTTAATATAATTTCATAGAGTTTTCAAATAAACGTGCTAAATCTTCATGTGTATGTGTTAATGGTGCTAATTTTGTTACACGTTGTTGTGGTATTGTTGCTTTAACTAATGCTGGTATATCATTAGTTGTATAACCAAATGCTTTTAAACCATCATCAACATTAACATCATATAAAAATTTTCGTAAAATATCAGCTAAGATTTTACCAGCATCTTTATGTGAAGAATTAAGAAATTTACTTTTTGTTTCTCCACCTGTTGCTAATATTGATGCAACTTCTAAATGACGTTCAGGACATGCTGGTGCTGTAAATTCAAAAACAGCTGGT